ACTTTACTGCATAAGGGATCCTTTTAGCTCTGAGGGTGGCAACCCTAAGCTTAAAAACGAGATTCCAACATAGAGGTCCAAACTTGGGACCAAAACAACTCTAAAAGTCCACTACACAAGATCTATGCATTCTTGAGAAAAGTTATGAACTTTATACCTCAGAAGAGCTCCAAATGATGATGTTATTCCAGATCCATGAGCTCCAACCTATCTAGTTCTTCCCAGCCAACTTCCTCTTTTGCAATTCCCAAGCTTACACCACCAAATGAACCTCTTGAAGACCAAATCTCCCCAAGGAAGAAGATATGAGGCATCCAAGGGCTTCTCTAAGGTTGGGGAACAAATATGGAGGCTAGGATTCGGACTATAATGTTCTATATATAGTGGCATACCTTAAATTTAGGGTTTCTGGATTCTGGACATACGTTGGTCGTACGCCAAGGAGCACCCGCGACCATCTTCTTTATACATTGGGCATAACCCAGCCTTACACTGGGAGTACCCATGCGCTTCCAACTCACATGCATGGCCTTCCATGCCAACTTTTCTCCTTAAGGGTCCATTTATGTCAAAAACCTCGATGTGTCATATCTTCCTCACCTGATGTCCGTTTTCGGTGAACTTTATATTCACGAAAAGGTAGCGAGAAGCTCTACACTTCTATCAACTTTATATATCCTAGAGCCCAATCGAGCTTAGATCCAAAATTTATGAAAAGTCCAAACCAACATATATCGATACCCTTGGGACCTAAAGCACAACCCAAACCCTTTTCTCACACAATACACCTTATCTATATTCAGATTATGACCCACGAGCCTTCAATCACAAAACAGTCTGGAACACGATGTTACAGGAGGAGTCGTTCTGTGTGTGAAGTAGCGAGAACGATGATCACTTATGCGAATCTGCCACTACACTTTTACACATAAGCGATTTCAACTGCTTGCTTTACGTAAAACTGTTCTTTCATTCATGTTCATTTTAACATAACACCTTATGAAATTATAAACCAAATGAAACCTAATGTCAAAATTTTCCATGTTTTTGGATGCAGATGTTTCATCATGAATCTCAAGGATAATTTTTCCAAATTTCAGTTGAAAGCTGATGAGGGAATTTTCTTGTGATATTCTCAAAATTATGTAGCCTATAGGGCATTGAACAAGTGAACAAGGAAGCCAGAAGAAACTTTCAGTCTCACATTCGATGATCATTGTGTCAAAAGAGTTGAACAATCATTCATTTTAAAACTAATTATTGTTGAACCAAATGTTGAATGTTAACAAATGTATACTTTTTATATTGATCTTGATTTAATTTTTGGTATTCCTTATAGGACAATTTATACAGAGATCAATGTTGATGATAATCAAGTTCATGAGGCATCAAAACACTTTGATGATTCGACTATCACAAATCAAGAAAATAAAGCACATTCTTCATCGACTTCAAGAGAAAATGTGGAAGGAATGTATGTTTCGATTGATGATCCAGTGGAGGGGGAGTACTTGATTTCAACGCCTCACAATGAAAGACAAGATTCTCATGTTGAGGGGGAGCCCATGCCTCACAATGCTGATGTTGAAGGGGAGTATTTGCCTAACCATGTTGATGTCGAGGGGGAGCATCACAATACAAATCCATTGGTCGAGGGGGAGCCAAGTGGATCGAATCATGATAATGGTAATGATCAAAATAATGATTTTCATAATGCAACTGATAATATCTCTATTGCATAAGAAGTTTCGGATGCTGAAGACATTTGAAGATGCAACTTTAGACTTTAATGTTGCATATCCACCGATGGACAAATGGACAAGTTATCATACGAAAAAAAATTCTTGGTGATCCAAACTTTTATGTCTTGACACGAGCCAATATTGGAGCCAAAAATGAAGTGTTTAATGTTCATCAAGAATTATGTATGTTTAATGTCCTCATTTCAAAATTAGAACCAAAAACAGTAAAGACTACATAAGAACATCCTGATTGGATTATTGGAATGCAATCTGAACTTGCTAAATTTGAATGAAACAAGGTTTGGAGATTAGTTCCTAAACCTGAAGATGTTTCAATAATTGGTTTGAAATGGATTTTTAATAATAAAACAGATAAAGAAGGAAATATTGTTTGAAACAAAGCGAGACTAGTCGTAAAAGGTTATTCTCAACAAGAAGGTATTGATTATGAGAAAACCTTTGCCCATGTCTCAAGACTCGAGGTGGTACGAAATTTTCTTGCCTATGCAGCTCACAAGGTTTTTGACGACTACAAGATGGATGTGAAATGTGGATTCCTCAATGGTGTTCTAGAAGAAAGGATATATGTAGAACAACCACCAGGTTTCATTAATGATAAGTACCCTGATCACTGTTATATTTTAGACAAGGCAGTCTATGGGTTGAAACAAGAACCTCGTTCCTGGTATTCAACTGTAACAATTTTTTTAAAAATCGCTAAATTTAAACACGGATCCACTGATTCTATTTTGAAATAAAGTAGGGGATCATCTGATTCTTGTTTAAATTTATGTCGATAACATTATCTTTGGATCGAATGATCCTTCACTGTCTAAGGAATTTGAGGAATTGTAGAAAAGCAAATTCAAACTCAAGATGATGAAATGATGCAAGGTTAAAAGGAGTTACCTTGTGTGATCTAAGAAGCCTGTGTTTTATGGACCGAACACCTTTAAGCCCATGAAGTCCAAGAAGGCCTACATAGATGGATTATGTTTCGTTTATGGACAAACTGGATACTGGAAGAAAAACTGCTTCTCTTACATGAAAATAAAAGTTTGGAAGAGACTAGTACTTCAGGTATATACTAGATAGAACTTATACTTTTCATATCACACTCAAGTACTTGGTACTTAAATGTTAAGCTAATATTTGTAACTTGTTTGCAGATATGTATACAAGAGTAACCAGCTGAGTGCAAGCAAGTTGGAACTACACTCTCAGAGTTTAGTTCATTATTTATGCTTAGAACATAAATTACTTGTAATATAAAATAATGTTTGTTTTGGAATAATGTACGTTTTAAATTTAGCATGTCTAAATATTTATGTCTCAATTATTTTATTTAAATGTTTGATTATTTACTTGATCATTTTTCATAACAATAATACTCGTATTCTGAAATTATTAAATTCTATTTATGAGACTAGATCTCTTAATAGAATTATAAAGTAAATATCCATATTTAATAAATAAAATTATGTCTATATGCAAGCAACTTTGACTTAAACCAGTTTTAAATTAAACTTATATGTGGCATTGTTATCTTTATTATATAAATGAAATCCATATATTCTAAGTTCAGGAAAGGGATCTTTGAGGGTAAATAATATAGTTTATCTGACATATGTGAATATTATTTATATATAAAAAAATTTCTAATAATATTTTCACTAAAGTTTAGAGAAAATAAACATTAAGGAACTACACACTGTGGTGTATGACTTCCTTTCTAATGAATGTATAATATTAAGCACAAGATACAAATAAATCCAGCACCACCATCTAAAGAGTTAAGTGATAATAAAGGATGCATTAGACCTTATAGGATAATGTTTACTTTCCAATCAATAAAAAAATATCTTCCTTTATGCTCTTGGGATTATACCTTAATAACTATTAATTGTATCTTGAATAACAACACCAACAAATTACATATTTGCATAATATTCTTAAAGGGCATTTAGATTATTAAAACAAACCCACAAAGAATAAGTTCTCTTATTCTTCTAAATATGGAGTCAGCAGAAAGCAAGATTCTAGTGACAAAGCAAATAGGAGTCATATGGAACTTGAAGTAGCTCAAGAACCATAACCTAATGTATTGTTGAACTTGAATAATAGCTATTCACAAACACAAATTGTTCTCATTAATGGTAGAAATCATCTTTGACTTGAGAAATGTGGAATCTCTCATTAATGAGTTCTTCTTGAAGGCTTCTAGCAAATCCATCAACCACCATGATTCCATATCAAATATTGAATTTGATGAATGACTTAGAGTCATGAACATTGAGATGTAATTCATGTATAATAATAAAGTATGGGCTTGATTAGTCTTCTCTATAGCAAGGCTAGAAGGAGTAAGAGATTCTTTTAGAAAGAATGTATACATGTATATCACACACATTTAGAAAGGATTGTTATAAAAGGATTTTATCATACTCATGTTATTTAATATGGTCCTTATCATATGCATGACATTAACTGTGATTAAAACCATTTCACAAGTAGCCATGATTAGATCAAAAGGGATATTATTTACTATAACTTCATATTCTTAATATGAGATACAAAAGTAGATTTTAAGATAGACCGATTTTCTTAATAGACATCTACCAGAAGATATCTATATAGCTTAGCTTGGAGGTTTCTAATCCATGTTATCCTAACCAAATGTGTAAGGCTTAATATCTACTTGTGGATATAAAGCAAACATCTCAAGGGTTTAATAGTCGTTTTATATAAAGATACATGGTATGCTTTTATATTAGATTGAAAAAGGCATATGTGTTTACTAAGAATTAGTAGGAGGATAGTGATATTCTTAATCTTGTATGAATGAGACATACTTAATCATTTGAAATAATATTACGACTATGCAAGGCCGTTTTCACCTTGACTCGGAAAGTATTTCTAAAATGAAAGACTTAGGTAGACAAGATACATTCTTCAAATTTAAAATCTAGAGAGATAGATAAATATGAATGTTAAAAGTTTTAAGTTCTTTTGTATGAATTAACAATATCTTGAATCAGCTCAAGATACAAGATTCCTTTGGAGGATTCCTGACATTGTCACATGACACCTTTTTGAGTCTGTCTCAAAAGGATCTAGCACATAGGTTTGAGCTAGATGAAATGATTTATATTCTATTTGCTCAACAAATGAATCCATCATTTATGCCATATCAAGGACATCTTTGAATCTCTTGACAAATGACTCAGCAGTCTTCATTCCATCAAACTGCTTCTTCACCTAATTCTCCAAGAAGCTTGTGAAATCAGTTGCACGGGGATCATTTGACGGATTGTGAAAAGGTGCATCAGCAAGTTCTCCAAGATTGACTCTGGTCCATGAGCAAAAGTAATTTTGGTGGTTGTAGTATTCCACCTTTCCACTCTTCCTCTTAACCACCCAAACATTTAGTTTATCGTGAAATCTCTACATCAAGATTCCAGACTGGTCTCCATATTTTACCCTGAATTGCTTTTGCTCGAGCTTAGTTACGGTCAGTTGAGGTTGATCTCCACAAACATTTTTGTTGGAGTTTTTCATGAAGAGCAAAACTCTCTTTCGTTGAGCAGTAACTTGTCTTGGACATTGCTTTAGAGTTATTCTTGGATGAGCTTGAGCAGGTTCACTGTCAAATTGATCAATGATATGGGTTGTTTTGACATGTTGATCAACAGGAGGATCTTGAGCAACTTGGGAAGGAGCACAATTAGAAGGTTCTGCTGCATTTGGTTCAACGACCGATGTCTTGAATTTGTCACTAAATTCACTGATTAGCTTATTTTTCAGTTCGAAGTACCCAACATATAATGCACCTAGATTTAGCTGCAAGTCGGAGATCTGTTTTGATTTTAGAGTATTTTCCTCCTCAAACTTGGAAACTCCGACGTCAATATTTACTATCATAACATCCTTCTCGATAACCTTTTAATTTAGAATTCCGATTTCCTCCTTAAGCTAAAAAATTGTTGCATCTTCTTTGTCAGAGCTCCCTGAACCTATAGATATACCCTTGCCCCTTGGTGTAGGATCAACATCCTCACGACCCAAAAAGATTGCCAGTCGCTCGGAGGCTATATCGTGTGAGGGTGGAGGAGTTGAAGATCCATCAGGAGCTGAAGAACTCCCACCGGTTTCAAACGAAGATCGAACATCACTTGGTCATTCTTTCAAAACATGGGATTGTTGGGTCGATGTTGCAGTTGCAAAAGATTGTCGGGCTGTCGAAGCTTGTTCCCTAATCAGCACTCCCAACCTTGGATCGACTTTTCTACTTTTGAGTGGAGGCTGGGAGAATTGTGTCATACTAAGATCACCCTCAGATGGCAAAGTGGCTGGAGTAGCAACTGTAAGGGGAGGAATCCTTATAGTTGAATCCAGATTAGATAAAGTGTCAACCATCTGATTAGTTGTTGGATGCGGAACTTTCAGAACATTTCCAACTCCCTCAGTCTCCATTGTAGGTTGTATAACATCACGTATGTCATCACAAAACGCATTGAGTTCCTCATTACTTGGCTTGAAATCATCACCTGGCTAGAAGTTGAAGAATAAGTTATCATTATCAAAGTCATGTACATTATCCCCTAGATTCATCACATCTTCATTATCATCATCATTTGCATCATCATCGTCATTTACCTCCACATTAGTCATCGGTACATAGATGACGACCACAGACCTTTCTAGGCAGTCGAGTGGAACGCTAGCAGGCTCGCAATCTGTAGGTGTTTGTGAACTATATGTTTGCTGGTGTACTCCATCCCCCTCATGGTTGCTTTACGAACATATATGGCTGAGGTATCCCCTTAGCAGTAAAGTCCATACCTGTCACACCCCCGAACCAGACGGCGGAAACGTCCGAGGGCTATTGTGACTTAATTGAATACCATCACAATTAATATACATGAATCATAACATCATTCATCACCATGCATTGAAATATTACAACCATTAGTGTTTACATTCAGTACATTGTTTTACAACATTACATTTTCAAAACATAAACCGTTCGATATTAATTAAACAAAACATCATGATATCACTGGATACATTTTCTTCGATTTACCTGTTACCTGATAATACAAGTATTTTGGAAAAACGTCAACATATGAAATGTTGGTGAGTTCATAAGTAATATTTGAAAAGTAATGATTTGTGTTATTTTGAAAAACACCAGAAAATCCGATATTTTCTGAAAAGATTATCATAAGTAAGAAAAAGTGTGAAGATCCGTAAGTATGCTTGTTGATTTCTGTAAGTGTGAATAATTGTTCGACTTTGTATGCATCACATAGGTGAAAGTGTTGAATTCCCTAGTAAAACCCGATGTTTTCCTAATACATCAATTTACGTGGCTTAGTTAGTATTATTCCGATACGACGTTGTATTCTATAGTTCCAGGTGACATTGGATTAATTATGGGTTGTGAGTCGTTATAAGCACGCATTAATGAAGATGACTAGTTTACAACTTTACAAACGATCCCTTAGGCGTCGTCCGTACTACTCACTTAATCCAACAACCCTGACTTCTCATAGCCCCACGGCCGAGGAGAAAAGAGGGTGTGAAGCACTCGTTATTTCCATAGGTTGTTCAAGGCTATCGTGAATGCGAAAGGCACTGGGTCTGACTCGCATTTGACTTCTCGACTTTGCTAGCAGTACCAAAGGACCCTTGGGGCCCAACAGCACAATAAGGCTATTGAAAGTCCTTTTACAAGGAATTAGGTCATATAAGACCCAATAACATGTAAGCGTGTTCCCTTCGGGCCTAAAGATCATGTCATTGGGCTAGCTAGGCCCAAAAAGCACGATTTGAAACTCTTGATCCCAAAGAATGTGTATTGACTTCTCGCATATTATCGCGTGTGTATTGTAGTACCGTAGTATATTGATTTTTGATTCATTATTGATTCGAGACCGAATCGACTTGTTTGGTAACGATTTTTGGTATTGAGGGTGTATTTATTATCACATTTCACCGGTAGACGTAGTACTCGTACTTTTATTTTAAGGGATATATTGGTTTAAGAATGTGAGTTTATCTACTTAAGCCCTTCCTAAGATATAATTTACACTTTTAACCCTTTGTGTATAAAAGAATTTCCGGTTTAGTCCTTAAACAATTATTCTTGACACATTAGTTTCAAAACTTATTGGGAAGACATTTTTAGCACCAAGTTACTTGAAAAACAGATTAGGTCCCTCAAAATGACATTTTCTCGGTTGAAACCCCCATCTTCGCAACTTTTACAATTTTGGCCCAAAAAGGAAAAATGTTTACATTTTTAGTCCTTTTTTAATTTGAAAACATTTTAGATCCTTGAAATAGTTTTATTACACTAGTAATCCCCTGTTTTTCATAAATGTGCAGTTCAGCCCCTCTTTTTTTCGGATTTTCGCAAATTGGGGCTTATTGGGCCGAAAAGCCCATTTTTAGCCCATTAGGTTTAAAATTTACATTTTAAGCCCCTCCAAAGTGGTTTTATTCAGAAAAAATTTCACAAAGACTGTTTGGACTTGTTTCAACCTCCAAAAATTATGTTTTGTCATTTTGGGCCCCTTAGTTTTGTATTTTTGACATTTTGGGCCCAAAAATGGGTTTTGTGTTCAAAAATGTTCATCCTAACTAAATAAATCATTTTTATTGACTTGATTAGTGTAGAATGGTATAACCTATGTTTATTTCATTCTTCATGTTGTATATCTCGGTTTTTAGGTATTTTTAGCTAGTATAATCATCACATAACACATAAAAACCATACATACATGCATAAAATCACACAAGACATACATGAACTCATAAATCTTACACATTTGCTTGTATTCTACCCCACAAAAACTTATAAAACAGAAAAATAAGGGTATGAAGCTCACCTTTGGGTGTGGTTTCGTTTTTTGGAAGAAAATGGGAAGAGGATTCGGCCTTAGTACCCCTCCTTGGAAGATCTCGAACTTAGAGGATCTCTAAGAGAGTGATCATAATTTTTACATGGATTAGAAGGAGATTTTGATGAAACAAAGAACTTATATCATAGATCCAAACTTTATCTTACCTTTGATGAAGAATTTGTGTAAGAATTCCCCTTGAATCCTTCTTAGATCTCGAAATTATGGAGGGGGTATGAGGGAGTTTGCTTGAGAGAAAATTGAGTGAAATGTGTATGTGTGTGTTTGGAATCAGCCGAGAATGAGAGAAAGAGAGAGAAAAGAGAAGTGCTTGCATGGGAGGGTGAGATTGCATGGATGTTTGAAGTGCAAAAGCTTAGATATCCCCCTTATAAAAATGAGGTGGCAAGTAAAGTCAACCCTTTCCTCTTGGGTTTGTAGTTTGGGCCGAGAGTTAAAGAAGAGAGATGGAGATTTGGGCTTTTTATGTTTAAGTCCATAATATGGAGTCCAAGTTAATGGTTTTCTCCCCCTTGGCTCTTTTAGGGTAATTCACGACCCAAATAAATACAATTATGATTCTTGTGGTCCATTAGGGCTAATTAGGTTAATTATGGCCCAATGAGGTCCATTAAGGTGTTTTATTTCATTCTAGGCTCAATATGGCCCAAAATATTGAATTAAATGGAAATGGGTCCAATTAGAGCCCATTTAAGAGTTCTAAGCCCAAGATAATCAAATTGGAAGCTTATTGGTCCTTTGGGTCCAATAAAGAAGTCCTAGTCCAAAAATGGACTTAAACAAGAACTTCTAGGGTTTCCAATTGTTTAAAGACTATTTGTGTTGCATGGGGTGTTTGATTGAAACTTTTGTTGTCATAAAGTAAGCATCATACATGCTCTTATGTTTTTGATTCATAATTTGACTTAAGTGTTGTAGTTACAAGGCACAAAATTCCTGATTGTGACATCATCCTCTCGTTAGAGGGAATTTCGTCCTGAAATTCTTTTGAAAGCTAGATTTGAGAATGCTAGAATAGGTGAGGGTACTTTTGCTTCATTTGGTCCTCGCATTCCCATGTGAATTCTGGCTCACGTTTCGCATTCCACCGTACTTTCACGATTGGGATGCGACTTTGCTTAGTACGCTTCACCTCCCTGTCCATGATTTCGATTGGTTCCTCATTGAACAGGAGATTCTCGTTGATCTCAATCTCGTCGAGAGGAATGACGAGTGTTTCATCTGATAGGCACTTCTTAAGATTGGAGACATGGAACACGAGGTGTATGTTGTTTAGCTCCGCGGGTAGCTTCAGTTTGTACGCCACTGGACCTATTCGGGCAACGATTTCGAAAGGTCCAATGTATCGTGGGTTCAGTTTTCCCTGTTTTCGGAAAGAAATGACTCCTTTCCAAGGTGAAACTTTTAACAACACTTGATCTCTGACCTGAAACTCTAAGGGCTTTAGCCGTTTATCGGCGTAGATCTTTTTTCGGTCGCGCGATGCTTGTAGTCGGGCTCTGATTTGAACTATCTTTTCCGTGGTTTCACGAATGATTTCCGGTCCCGTTAACGCCTTGTCCGATGTGAGAGCTTTTGCTAGCTGGGTGTCACCCACCTCAGCCCAACACAACGGGGATCTACACTTACGTCCATATAGTGCTTCGAAAGGAGCGACTTTGATGCTCGAATGGTAACTGTTGTTATAAGAGAACTCCACTAAGGGCAAGTGGGTGTCCCAAGACTTCCCAAAGTCTATCACACATGTGCGGAGCATGTCTTCGAGCGTCTGAATGGTTCGTTCGCTTTGACCGTCCGTTTGTGGGTGATAAGCGGTGCTCATGTCGAGATGGGTTCCAAGTGCTTTCTGAAGTGATTGCCAAAAACGTGAAGTGAATCTACTATCTTTATCCGAGATAATAGACATTGGTACTCCATGGAGTCTCACGATTTCTCGAATGTGTTATCGTGTCAGTTTCTCCATCTTGTAGGATTCTTTTATCGACAGGAAATGAG